ATGTCTATGCAGCGCTCCAGAACGCTACCCCGCTTGAAAAGGAGCTATATAAATGCAAGTTGTTGTTGTTGCTTCCTGTCTTATTCCCTTTCGTTCCTTCCAGCTCTGTGTATCATTCCGCCTTTGATTATTCCCACTTTCCAGACCAAAACGTCTTTATTTTTCAGCTGCCCTATTATCCAAAACAAAATCATTGCTTCTTTAAGACTTATTAGACATTGTAATGGTATCGCCACTTTTGGGTCACCCTATGTTTGTTGAATTATTGAATGTTCCTATTGGTCTCGGCCTCACCAATCCCTTTAGGTGATGAATTCCCTAATTGCCTCTTGTGGGAAGCAGCTCTCTCTAACCTCTCCTCTGATTCTTTTGCTAACAGTCCTGGTACTAGGCTCCCACCTCTCCCTTTCCCTCCGATATCTCCCAATTGATGGGGTTTGTCCATTGGAGAAGGCGACAGAGGAGGGAACGTACTCAGAAAATGAAATATTCATATCTGATTTCAAAAGTTAATAATGAATGAGGTTTGCATCCTATTTCTGGTCTGCAGCCCAACCAAAGCACATTGGGACCCAAGCAGATGTTGAGCAAGACAGTGAATGTTGATGATGATGATGATGATGATGATGATAATACTACTAATCCCTGCGCTTGATAGACTTGCTGGAGACTTTCACGTCAGAAAGACACCACCAAGGGCTCACTGGATATATTGTGAAGTGTAGCGACTGTGTATTTTTGTAGGGGAACTCGGCAGTCAATCCGCGAATAGTTCCAGGCGATGTTTGAGTGCTATAAGCCTCAGACTATTCGGTGACATCAAACCCCATCATGACCCACTTGTTTTCTCACTTGCGAACCTTACGGTTCCAGACAGATTGGCTGCTCATACACAGTGGGAAATTCCTCATGCTATTGAGTGTGTGACGTTGCTGGTCAGAATATCAGCGGTTGCTGTGCCTTGGGAGGGGAGTGGGGGGAAGGGGAGGAAAGAGGGCAAAGTGTGAGAGGAATTTCTCGCCCACTGTGTTTACTGTAATAACACTGAATGTAAACCACAGAGACATTTGGAATTAATTGGTCCTTGGAATAAACCAAAAAAGCCTGCTGTTATTCAGCTCTAATTATTTTATAACCACAAGATAAGTTCTTTGTTTTTTCGAGTCGGGTATTTGCAGCGATTCCTCGCCATATATGTACATCTGACACCTAGCAACTGTACTTTGCGGGAACATTGTTGGGTTCGATAATTTCTAAGAATTTCTAGGTTGTCACTGAGTGGTAGAACATTCGGGAGTGTTTGCAATGATTTTACAGGGGTATGTTAAGGGGAACATGACTAATATGTAAACGTGCATGGACAAAACTAGGGTCATTGTGCTGGGTTCTATGATCTCATATATCATCTATGACACTGTTTGTTCAGGTTCCTAACTTGGTGCTTAAAACAAACTCTTTGGCAGTGTCTAATGTTATTCATATTGTGTTCCTCGGTAAAACCTTTATAAATCTCCAGGTCTGTTTACCTAGCCCCCATCCCCCTCCCTGCTTTTTCTCCTTAGTCATTTATTCTCCCAGGTCAAATCTTGGCTTGGAAGCTTACCCAACTGTGAAGAAGTTTTTCCGAGCAGATTGTTTTTTGTTGATCTTAGACAAGTGGGGCAGAGGCCTGGGCAGAACTACAGGGTGACCAACAAGTCGTGACACCATTTATTTTAATAACAATTACTTTCACTTCTTCATAATTTCTTTAAGACTTAGCAGACATTGCGATGGCATCACAACTTTTTAGAAATCCCTGTAGTTCAGTGTAGCCACTTGGATGGGTTGCCAGAGGGCACCCAGTGCTTCTGGAACCTTGGCCCAGCAAGACCAGGCCAGGCCAGGCCAGGAGCAAAGAAGTCAGGGCACGCTGCCGGCGAGAGAATTAGAAAAGGAAATGATTGGACCCGCTAAAAGGTTTTATCATTCTTTTCAAAAACAAAGTCATTGCCAAAGGGCTGCCGTGCCGTGCTGTGCTGTGCTGTCTGTGTGTGTGTCCACTCTGCGTGAGACGTAACATAAAGCCCAGTGTTGTGGATGCAAAGACGTGGGCACACTTGGCATGCCCACTACTAGCATGTCAGCACACACAGGACGCATTCAAAATGCTGGGCTCCGCGAGGCTATTCCGGCACAGTGGGCCAGAACAATGGGCCGAGGCTCCACGCCAACAGGAACCTCAGAAAGTGTTTCCTTCCATTGATGGCTAGCAATGGAGACTCTCTCTCAAGATTGTTCCTGGTGCTGGGAGCCCACAATATTGGTGATGGACTCCAAACTGGTGCTCTACTCGAGTCTTATGGTTTTTTTTTGTACCAGCGTTTGGATGTTTGAGGTCTCCTCTCCTGGCAGTAAGCGTGCTTAAGGGGCTGCGTGGGTCTGAGTGAAGCCATTCTTTTCGGAGATTCGGATGATCGATGGCCTTCTGTTAGTTAGCTCATGAGTCTCATGACTTTCAGAGGCCACGGCTAACAATGGAGAGAGATGGCGTGAGCCAAGTACAGGCTGGAGCTGTGTAGCTTCAACTTCTGAAACCTGCAGGAAACTTAATTAGGTTTGTCCCTTGAGGGTAGCTTTTTTTTGGCATTGTAATTTATCATTGGAGTGACATCTTCACAATGGAGATTGATTCCTTTCTGTTACCTTCGCTGACGGTTCACAAGTAATGAGGAACGGAGAGCGCATTGACCCACCCTCGGCTAGTATTCTCCTTGGTTCCTTAAGTTCAAGACACTAACCCGCCTCTCGGTTGTTAGGCTGGGGGATATAATTGGGTCAATACTCTGCTCTGCGGCAGTATTCATGTAATAATTTATGACCCATTTGAGTGCGTGGGGAGGGAAACAAAGAGGTCAGGTTTTCTTGTTGCCGTGTGTCGTTTTCTTAACCAAGGTATCCGGAAAGTCCATCACTGTCTCCGGCTGTCGGGCACCTCACTCCAAACTCGTCAGCACTTTGGGACGTCCTCCTGACGCGAAAGCCGCTATACAAATGTAATTTGTTGTTGTTATGGTGTATTGGAGCGGGGTTCTGTGAATTGGAGTGAAGCTCTTCCACTCATGGGAAAGGGTCCTCCCCTTGTGATATGTTGGTTAAGAATCACAGCAGCATTGACCCTGTGATGGGGTACCATTCGTTTAAGGATTTTCCCATTCTTCTCTGCTCAGTGTCCTCCATGCGCTGTAGGATTAGGTCTTTTGGTGGATTGCCAAAGGTACGTACACTTCCCTTGTTCAATGCCTGACTTGTGTCGTATCCATGAGGGTCTCACTTCAGCTATTGCTGTGCCTAAAAGGTCATTTCCCCCCACCCTGCGCTCCTCAGTGTGTGTTTGTTTCCTCACTTGGAAGATTAAGGTCAGATTCACTCCTCATGTCCCCGTTCGAAACATTCCTGAAAAAACTCCAGGATTAGAAATGTCCCAAGAAGGAAAAGAAACTTGCAACCAATGGTGGTGATCGGGGTTGATGCCATGTAGCCTGAAAGTACGACATCATAGGTTGCCCCAATGTTTCATGTCCTGCCACCCTACGTGATCGTCGGGCTCTAGGATCCAAGAGGAGATTTAGAAGAAGGGCAGTGTGGTGAGAACAGCGGCACAGCCTGATTCATTAAATATTTGTTAATCTTTTTTCTCCCCTTTCACATTGGATGTGTCTGAGTGCTGAACTGGAAAGTCTAGCCAAAGGTGACTCGTGACGCATTGCGTCTCATTAAATCTTCAGCTCCACTCAACTGAATATTACCATTAAACGTTCTGACTGTTTTGATCATCGCTTACGTTGCACAAAGTTAGTGTTAATCGGAAGTGTCTCCGTTTCGTGTTTGTGAAAACCCTTTTGGTGGTGAGTTTATGTTGTACTGTTTTGCCACCTCTAGGTGTCACTAGCGTGTTGCAAATACTCTGCAGTGCGGGGTAGCAAAGTGCAGTTGAGATATCTAGTGGCTTTGAAAAAAAAATCTGAAGTGCAATTTGTTTGTCAGCTTGTTGAGGGGGTCATTTGGCTTGGGCAGGTTCTGTCAAAATAGTCTCGACACAACGCTGTACAGTCAAGACTTCTACAGGGACATCAGTTGCACCTGGTCCTATATTAAAATACTTAACCCTCCGTACTCCTAGTCAGCTGCATTTTGTGAATGAAACGGGAGGAGTGGGTGTTATATTCTCTCGTGTAAAGGAAAAACAGCAACACATACTTGTTGGGCCAAGTGGCCTGTTTCTGTGACACACATTCTTCAAATACCTGTTAAAATCTTCCTTTCTAACTCGGGACTTGCCCTCCTTGCGATGTGGAATGCACACGAAATGCAGACCGACAAACCCAGCCTCGAGCGAATGTGATACTCATTTATTTGTGTACGGAAAAGTGTACAGAGTGTAGTTCGTTCAGTGTATGTTCAGTTCCTCTCTGACTTATAATAATGATTATAATAATAATCGTTGCTTTGATATAGTGGCTTTCAGTTCGAGAGGACGTCTTAAAGCGCTTCACGGGATTTACCGTATAATAATAATCCTTGCATTTGATGTAGCGCCTTATCATGTCTTTGAGACATCTCAAAGCGCTTCATAGGATATACTATAAAGTGAATTGACTGTATATTTTGTGGGCGAAACATCAATATAATGTAATGACTGAACATTTTGCGGCCAACGCAGCAGCCAATTTGCACATAGGAACGTGCCACTTCTATGATCGTGACCTTTTTATTCAAAAAAAAAAGAGATTTCTGAAAGCGTGACAACCGCAACAACAACAACTTGCGTTTATGTCGCGCCCTTCACGCCAGACGGAGTCTCGGGGAGCTTAACTATTTGGAGACGTGACGATTCAGTGCCTCGGGGATGGGAGTAAGCGGTTTGGTTTGGAGAGCTGGGGGTGGAGAGAGGCACAGGCATAACGGAAAAACAATTTAAATTTTTTTTAATTAAAAAAAATCATTTCTGTGTTTTGCAGCTCGATCTGGTGAAACCCATCGAGGAGCAGGGACCACTCGACGTTATAATCCACAAACTTACAGATGTCATTCTGGAAGCGGACCAAAACGATGCCCAGTCTCAGGAGCTGGTTCAGAGGTTTCAGGTGAGCTTTTTGCTTCATACCCTACACCCCCTTAATCCTTTTTCTCACCCCCCCCCCCCCACCCCTTCCCTCCGCAGCAACTAGGATCAGCTCCCAAGGCGACCCACAAAAGCTCACAGTCCTATAGCGCTTTGCACTTGGGAAACGGGAACGTAGAGGAGATGAACAAAAGTAGGTCAGAAACCTGGGGATTTTAGGAAGGTTTTGAAAGCAGATGTGGTGAGACAGAGAGTTCCAGAGAGGAGTGTGGGGGAAAGGGGCATTAACCGGCTGAGAACCGGGGAGCATTTAACAATTCTCCGCAGTTTATTGTGTTGGAAAGAAAGGACTCGGTGTGTTGGGGAATGCATCGATTCCTTGGTAGATTAAGTTCCTTGGGGGACTGAAAGTGCTTGCTTGAATAATGGCCTCAACACTTTCTGATCCAGGCACGGTATCGATTCCGGGCAGACGGATATTTCTTTGTGAAAACCCCCTCCCCCAACAAAAGTGATGCTCACATTAAAAAAAACTTTCCCTTGAAATCCTCCCAATCTTCCCTTTCCCTTTCGGGGATGTTACGAGACATGTGTTTGGTCTCTGCCTGTACAGCCTGCTTTCCTCAATCATTTATCTGATTAAAATAATAGGCTGATCTCGTCAGTCGCCTGACACTGACCCCAGTTTTTTTTTAATATTAAAAAAAAATTTGAATTAACTCTGTGCTGTTTTGCGCTGTTTTACTGAAATGCCCGTTTCAGAACGGGAACAGAGTTCCAGCTGAATTCCTACCGAATTGGTTCCGCTTTGCCCTGAGCGCGCGCTCAAAAAGCCGGTCTGTCTACGTACGATATTCGACTGCACCCGAAGAGCAAGAGGCCAGGCTTGATGTTATTTGTGCTTTGTCTTAAAATCCTTGTTCAACCGTCCCCAATCAATCCATTTTAATGATCTCGACTCCTTCTTGACATTGCCCCGAATGAGCAGGGGAACAGGCTCCATCGAGGAGCTCAGCGATCATTTGAGAAGCTTTACCCAAAGTCAAGCTGAGGAGGAGGCGATTCAGATGGTTTAAAGCATTACCGGGGTTACCCAGCTTTGAATGCAAATCATCTTAACGCAGTCAGATTCTACCTGTGGTTTGTTGGCGTGAACCTAAGCTGCCACATGGTGGTGACGTGTGGATTTGCAGCAGGTGAAGGCATTCGTAGGCTCGGAGGCGTTTTGAGATTAGAGGAGCAAAAATCTCTCTTTACCGCTGTGAAGCGCTCCGGGACACTATCCCACGTGAAGGGCGCTATATAAATGTAAGTCGTTGTCGTTCCTGCAAGTGCGTGGCCAGGATAAAGTGGCCTAGAATTCCGCCTAGTCCTAGCCTGCAAGACAGTTTTGCCGCCTCAGGAAAAAAATTGAAGATCTCGCACGAGACTGAACTTTTCACAGTCCCGAGTGACCTTGAGTTTTACGAACGTGTGGTCCTAACGGGCTGAGACAAGGTGGGATTTGTGGAACCTCACATCGGTCCCTATCAGTTGGGACCATACAGTTAGTATGACTTATGTGAAGTGTGAGTTACGTCAAACTTGCTCCAGGATCTAAACTCTCGAACTGGGTTTAGGCAGATGTACGACTTGGGGGCTTATACAATCTATACAAATCAGGTTTGTGAGGGTTTCACTTACTGAAATTGTTCCCGCTATATTTTCAGGACTACATTGACACACACCCAGAGACCATCATCCTAGACCCTCTCCCGGCCATCAGGACCTTGTTGGACCGATGCAAGTCCTACGAGCTGATTCGCAAGCTCGAAGGATACATGGAAGGTACGAGTGTGTGCTCACTTGTGTGTGTGTGTGTGTGTGTGTGTGTTTGTGTTGTGTGTGAGTGTGTTGTTGGTGTGTGTTCGTGTCTGTATGTGTGGGGGTGTGTGTGTGTAGTGGGGGTTGGGGTGAGCTGATTAAGATCAGCAAAGTCACACCAGTGGTCAGTCTCTGGTTACTCACTGGCCTTGTTGACCTCACTCAGCATCGTTTTGCTAATTCATAATATTAACTTACATTTGCTCTCGCGCCCATAGTAGCACATCATTGAGGCGTCTCAAACCCCTTCACAAGATATACTGTAAAGTGGTGTGAATGTGCTTATTTTGTGGGCGAACTTGGGAGCCAATTTGCATACAGCGATGTTCATACAGTATCTGTCCTGACCATGAATTCTCCAGATAAAATTGGACATCCACTCGATAGCTATTTATGGGACATTGCTGCGTGCAAATTGGCTGCTGTGTTAGCCCGAAAAACTCCGTACTCTTTGAATAGTGCCATGGGGTCTTTTAACAGAATGTACGGTTAAGACCTCATTTTAACGTCTCATCCAACAATGCAATGCTTCCCCCACTGCTACGCTGGAGCACCAGCCTAATTAATTTGTTTAACGAGACGGAAAAGAGTCACAGCCCCCGGCAAGATGTAGTGTCTCGACAGTTAACGATGCTAAAGTCTGTGCAATTGGAAAAGCCAATTCCTATAATTTGTGTCAAATTATCTGATTGTGACTGTGACTGGGGTGTGCGTTTCAGTGGCTCAGTGAGTTTATTTAGTGATAGCTAAGGCAGATAGACTGGAGAGGTCCCAGGTTCAGTCCTGGGCAGGAGTTAGCTGATCTCCGTCAATTTTGCTTTAGCTGTGGGGAGATACAATACAACATACATTTACATAGCGGTATCACATCAGGAGGTTGTCTCAAAAGTATTTACTCAGCCAGGGGCTACTGCTCCCAGTTTGCTGTGGGAAGAGCGCTAATATTATTATTGTTATTTTATAGATGTATTTAATAACTGGAACAGGTTGCCAGGAAGGGTGGTTCAGGCCTGGAAATCTGGGACTCAGTTAAAAAGCAGCTTAAGCTTCATCCAAACCCATCTTGTGATCTGGTGCAGTTGTTATTGTCTTCTTCACTTTATTTCCGAGGGTTTATTGGAGTTTGTACAAATCCATCAAATTCCATGAATCCCGTGCTTCTCTCCCCCCCCCCCCCCCCACCCCACCCCCCCCCACACACACACACACACAACTCAGAAAATTTCTGATTGCATGTTAATCCTCTTCAGAATAATCTGCTTGATCATTCGTGCTCCACTCAACAGCGTAAGAGAGGCTGTGGCGCATTAACTCCTTCAGGGCGCTTTCCGCCCGCTTTGCGTTCTTTTTGCAATCTTTTCAAGTCAGGAGGACGTCTCAAAGCGCTTCACAGGATTTTGCTGTCGAGTGTAGCGACTGTGTATTTGTAGCAGAACAGCCCTCACTCAGCAGCCAATTTTGCACGCAGGATGTTGATGTTGCTCCTGTTTCGTCGACGTGAGACCTCTTCCTGTCAGAACCTCTTCAGGAGGATGTTAAGGATCCCACGACACTATTCAAAAAGAGAATGCAGTTTCTCCCCACACAGTGTCCTGCCCGTTAATTCCCCGGATAAAGTCGCACGTTCATAATGTCATAGGGCTATTGCCGTGTGCAAATTGGCTGCTGCTTTAGCCCACAAAATACAGTCTCACACTTTACAGTATATTCTCTGAAGTGCTTTGAGAGGTCTCGAAGGCATGATAAGACACTGTATCAAATGCAAGCATTATTATTGTATTATAAGCGCTTTTTGAGAGGTTATCCCTCTGGAAAGGCACTATGTCGGGGTGCATGTTATTGTTGACTCCCAGGCAATTGGATGAACAAAGTACATTATGTCAAAGCTGTGCTGCCTTCGCTTTTGAACTGAAGTTCACCAAGGGAGACCTCTTATCGTTTGCTTCACGACTATGATGCAGATGTTTCAAATCCCGCCAGAGCTCCTCCAGAGATTTAGTGCTTCGGGGTCACAGGAAAGTCCACATTCTCCACCCCTTGACCCTCAGGCCCCCTCCCCCCTACCCTGAAGGCTTGAATCAAAGCCAATTCCCTCCCCCATGTATCTTAAAGAGATCTGGCCCCCAAATGTTCCCATACCCTGGGCTTGTTAATTTAACATGTTCGGAACTTTGCAAACACAGGTTTATAGTGATTAATAACTTTAAGCTGTTCCCCCCTCTCCCCCACCTCCCCCAACTCGGAAATTTGGCTTCCAAGTTAAGACCGAGTTTGACGGGTTTCCAAAATGCTGCAGTCTTCAATTTTAAGACCACGTTGTTGAGACGGACACTCCGCACATCTGACTGTGTCTCACTGCTCGTTCCTGACTCCCTCTGTCTCACCCTCTGATCAAACGTTCATCAGCCACTATGAACCCCCCCGCTCCCAACTCTCTGTAGCTCTCCCTCTCATCTTGGATCTGGTCAAAGAGGTTTTTAAAGGCACGAACAAGATACATCTTGCATTTTGTGTCCGTGCCTTTAAAAGCCTCATTGACGACGTCTGTGATTTAACATCCTGAAACTCCCCCCTCGCTGATCCCGGTCAGCTGTGTAAAATACTGACTGATATTTAGACATTTTTAAAGTCTATTCTTGTTTCACCCACAAAATATTACAGTCAATTCACTTTACAATGTATCCTGTCTCGAAGATGTGATAAGAATCATAGAAGGATAGAGTTATACAGCACAGAAGGAGGCCATTCGGCCCATTGTGTCTGTTCCGGCTCTTTGAAAAGAGCTTCCAAATCAATCCCACTCCCCCGCACTCTCCCCATAGCCCTGCAAACTTGTCCTCCCCAAATAATTATCAAAGGCGCTGTATCAATTGCAAGAATTATTATAGGATTATTATCATTTCTAGATTTCTCAACTTAAATAGCACAAAGTCAACAGATGGAGAACCGGAAAAACCAAATGCTTTGCTCTGAAAATCCTTTGTTTTGTTTTTGTTTCGTGCTGTCTTGTAGACACGAGAATCTGTTCACCGCCCTTCATGGAGCTGAGCGGTCAGTGTGGCGAGGATACCATGGCACAGATTGAGAAACACAAGCTGACATTCCCTTTCAGTAAGTGTCCGACTCGGGCCACTTCATGGGGCCATTGCGCTGGGTGCCCTCAAGAACAAGTTCCTTGCGAGGGGTTTGACAGTCGGTGTATTCTGAGCTCCATATACCGCACCCAGGTCGTGGAGTCCTGTAGCTCAGCGGTTAGAGCACTCGCTTTGCAAGCGAAAGACCTGAGTTCAATTCCAGGCAGAGGGCGAAACCTTGGGCAAGTTTCCTCACTCCACACAGAGCCTAATAATAATCCCTCCAAAACCAAAAACAATAATAAATTGGTCATTTTCAATCCACGACTGTTTGTGGGACATTGCTGTGCGCAATTGGCTGCCGCGTTCGCCCACAAATATACAGTCAATTCACTTTACAGTGTGTTCTGTGAAGCGCTTTGGGACGTCCTCCCGACGTGAAAAGCGCTATATCAAATGCAAGGATTAATTAATGTGGTCAGTGGGCACTGAGCCAGTACATCCCTACATTTTGATACAATCAATGCAACCTCCGGTCTTGTCTCTTTACCCTCTTTTGAGTTGAGAGTTTTCTCTGTTCATACACAGACCAGTGAGGCTGTGTTTCTGGTTCCTTGCACGTGTTCTAATGACCTCTTTCTGTTTCTTCCTAGTCTGTAAAACCAGAGTGGCCCATGGCACCAACTCACACGAGGTGAGTGACAGATGTATTGGGAGGTGGGGAGGGGTGGGGTGGTGTGAGGAGGAAGTTAATACCTTGGAGAACACTTGTAAGGGTCTTTCCCTCCTGTTAAACCTTAATATACAGTCAATTCACTTTACAGTGTACTCTGTGAAGCGCTTTGGGACGTCTTCCCGACGTGAAAAGCGCTATATCAAATGCAAGGATTATTATTATGATGGTCTTAACGCCCAACGAGGGGGAATTGAAGTTGCCGATCTCTTTCACCAAACAGAATAATCTTGAATTAACTTTAACCCAGTTGTGGTAGTGAGTTCCACAGGACTTCTCTTTCTCTCTGTCTTTCCCCTCCTCACTTCCTCCCTCCATCCACACCCTCCCTTTCCCCCGAAGCTGGGATAACATCTGGCGAAAAGCAGGTCCCATGTGCAACCAATTGGAGGACACAGCTCAGTTTAACTTTGCACCCATGTGTGACGTGCCTTGAACCCTTAGATAAGAATCAGGCCGTTAATCCCAGACCTGCACTGGACCCGGTCACACCGTCTGGGCGTGTGCAGCCCTTGAGGAAACCGTCCTGCCGTCTGTTTCGTGCAGGACTTGCATTTTAATAAGCTTTGTGTTTTGACACTGAAACTGTTGTGTCAAATTATCTGAAAGAGCTTCGCAGGGGAAATAGCTCCTCTCCCACGCAGTCAGACCGGCGTTGATGAACCATGTGCACTGGGGGTGGGGGGTGGTGGAGGGCTGTGCGCGCACTCGATTTGGGAGTGCGTGTTATTGTTTTCCGGTTGTAATGCCTGAATGAGCCACGAGATGGCTCTGCAGGACTCCGGGTATCTGGGATTGGAACCCAGTTGGCCCGATCCAGCCCGCAACCCAATACAGATTCATAAACAAATTCCACGGATCGAAAATGTCTGCGGCCACACGTCGCCTCCGCCTCACCGTCTCCGCCGGCCTTCACAGAGGACAGGGATATTGATTTTTTGGCTCGGGAATTCTGTCTGGATTCCACCGGCGGAAAAGAGTTTATTCGCTATCTTCTTCTGCTCACAGGATTCGAACAATTACAATGCTGGCACCAGAGCAGCCTGGAGGATAGCAGCACATGCTCACTAACACCATGGCGGCTTTAGAACAGTAATTACACTTAACCTGACTAGATCTCTGACTAGATTAGTCTGTCTAGCCGGGGTTTAAGTGCTTAAGCAATCAGCTGCCATGCTTTTGCCCAATAAATATACAGTCAACTCACTTTACGGTATATCCAGTAAAATGCTTTGAGACGTTCAGGGCACGGCTAATAACAGACTAGCCAGCCTGGCTCCCGGCAGGAGTTGGAGTGGTTTGGAGCAGTGATTCTTCCCACTCAACTCCTGTTAACCCCGCAAGCCAAAGCCCTAATGGATAGAACTGAGCCTGAAGCAGAGACTTACAATAGGAATCTTTGCATTTGATACAGCGCCTTTTATGTCAGGCCAGGCATCTCAAAGCACTTCACAGGATTGACTGCAATGTGTAGTGACTGTGTATCTTGTAGTTGAAGGAGTAGAAAAGAAGGAAAAATATTCACGCAGCATTAACCCAAACCCGATTCTTGTTGATATGAGACATACGATTCCAGATGAATCTTTCTCTATCTCTCTTGTTTCTGCAGATGGCGATTATTTTCAGTGAGGATGGACTGAAAGACATCAAGCCTCAGTGCGTCATCCAGAGCTTCATAAACCACAACGCCGTGCTGTACAAAGTGTTCGTTATCGGAGAATCCTACACCGTGGTCGAACGACCGTCCTTGAAGAATTTCTCCGCCGGCATTTCAGGTCAGTGTTTCTGTGCAGAAAAGTCTTAAGAGAAAATAATCTTTGCATTTGAATGTGAGGGGCTCAGAGCGCTTCACAGGATTTATTGTCAAGTGTACTGGCTGTGTGGAAGCAGAAAATGTCGTTTGTTTCAAGAACAAATTAGATAGATTTCTGCTAGAAAATAATATCTCGGGATAGAGGATATAGTTTGGGACACGACATGTCAAGCAACTGCCAGGATGGTGGAATGTGAACTAGATGGACCTTGGTTTTCTTTCGCCAGCAAGTTCTTATGTTCGTATGGATCCTTGCTCTATTGTACAGCACCTTCCATGTACGACAATGTCAGGAAAGCACTTTACAGAGCCTTAAGTGGGAAGCTGAGCTGGGTGCAAGATACCAAGGGGGGTGGGGTGGGGGGTGGGGGGGCAGAAATTACCCTCTGGGCGTCTTTGTCAAAAACGTTTTTTTGCAGTTATTAATTGCTGTCAAATCCTTTCTCGGGCGACAGAGAGAAAATCAATATTCTTCAACAGCCATAATGTATCGAAACCCGAGTCGTCGTCTGACTTAACGGCAGTAAGTAATGACTTTTAAAGTTTATTTTTCTTTTTTTTTAAAGGAAATTCACGTTCCTTTGCTCTTTAGTTTTCCATTGTGTTGTGTACACATAGACAGACACACACACACACACACACAGGCTCTGAATCAGCATGAGCGAGTTGGTACTAGTTACGAAACGGTAACAAATTTGTGGATATACCTTAAAGCGTTCCTTGCGCTGATTTAATACAAGGATTGTCTTGAGGGACGATACTGAGAATATCGGCACCTACACTCTTGTGTGTGTGTGTGTGCGTGTGTGTGCATATATATGTATACAGGGTGACCAAAAAGTTGTGATATCTACCCTATTATCTGAACCGCCACCACCACCCCCAAAATATTATCATTTCTTTAAGACTTCATTAGACATTGTAATGGTATCATCACTTTTTGGGTACATTAACATGTTGGGGATTGACTGAATCTGAAGTGTTGACATAACTGTTTGGTGACTGAGTGACTTTGGTGACATTCCCTCACTCTGTCTCTCTCTCTCTCTCCCCCCCCCTCTCCAGCTCGACGTGGTGGAAGGCGTGTTTGCTCTTCCGAGCGATGACGTTATCAGGAAGATCTCCAGGACGCTGCGAAATGCGCTGGGCATATCTCTGTTTGGCATCGACGTGATCATTAACAATCAGACAGGCCAACACGCTGTCATTGATATCAATGCATTCCCAGGTGAGAGGACCGCTCGCTCCTGTTGAGGAGAGCCTCGTTTGCTTTCTCCCCTCCGCTGAGAGATCCTCGCTCACTCACCAACCTCGGGGACTGGGGGGGTGGGGGGAGAAGGTTGAGGCTACAACAACAACAACAAGATTCCATTTATAAAGCGCCTTTCACGTCAGGAGGACGTCCCAAGGCGCTGCACAGTTGGGTCATGACCCGAGCAGGGGGGAAATGGTCAGGGTGAGGGGAGAGAGCGAGGAGGGGGGAAATGGTCAGGGTGAGGGGAGGGAAGGGAGGGAGCGAGGAGGTGGTAGAGAGTCGAGAGGGGAGCTGAAGGCTCGGTCAAAGAGAAAGGTTTTGAGACCGGCTTTGAAGGAGGAAAGGGAGGAAGCGGTGAAGGCACTGGGGGATGGAGTTCCAGAGCCTGGGGGCTGAGAGGCTGAAGGCCTGACCACCGATGGTAGGGCAGTTGGGGCGGGGGACGTGGAGCAGACCGGAGCCGGACGAACGGAGGGTACGGGCAGGTAGGTAGGGGGATAGTAGGTTGGAGAGGTAGGAGGGAGCAAGGCCGTGAATGGCCTTGTAGGTTATTGATGCAAGTGTTTTTTTAAGACTGAGGGAAAAGAGAGTGAGAGATGAGGGTGTGGGTGGGAGAAGGCTAAACCACTTTGGGATGGAGTGACGGAGATATTAATACCCAGACCTGCAGGTCTGTGGTTGGATTGAAGCCATCGTGATTTTTCCAGTTCACTCGATATTCAGATGGGGTAACGTGTGGAGTCAGGTGTTCGAATTTGAAGGGAACTGGGGTGAATATGTGTGGGTGTGCAGTAAAAACACTCAATTAGTCTGATCTGTATAAACCACTTCGGTCGTCTATCTGCCCTTATCCGTCGAATTTCCTATCTATTAAGTCACACGTAACTCGTAATTTACAGAAGTCAAAATAAAAGCGTGGTCTCAACTGATGATGATAATGACAATAATCCTTGCATTTGATACAGCGCCTTATCCCGTCTTTGAGACGTCTCAAAGCGTTTCACGGGATACACCGTAAAGTGTGTGTTTTGTGACACGACTGATTACACAGAAGTGCGTGTCTGTAACCCTAAAACCTCCCAAAACGTTCTGGCCGAACAAGACCAGGTGCTGTTTCACGGGAGCTTCTTGTGGTGTTTCCTACGCAGGGTACGAAGGTGTCCCGGAATTCTTCACCGAGCTCTTAAACCACATCCAGGTGGTACTGCAAGCTCGCAACCCAGACCCTCACCAACAACAACAGCAGCAGCAGCAGCAGCAGCTCAGCCAGAGCAGGAAGGGAGCTGAGCAGGACACGGTCGGGCGTGGAGAACAGCGCGCATGTTCGGCCACCTCGTCTTACGTGAACGTGGCGGCCAAAGACGCCTGGCTCCTGGAGGAAGATGGCAAGAGGCTGCAGCACCAGCGACTCACTTGCAATTCCGCCGTGCCTCCCAACTTCCAGAACTGCGTGCCTCCCATGGCGACCAAGGCTTCCTCTCAATGACCGTTTGGGAACCGGGGGCCAAAAGCCAAGGACGGGATCTTTTAATCAGGATCAAAGCGAAACCCGTTGTTTTTTTTGTTTTTTTTTCTTAAATCAATGGAACAACTTTTCTATTCTAATGACCTCACGAGACTGGTACAGGTGATTGTGGCTACGAGTGGATGGAGAGAGAGAGAGAGAGAGAGAAAGACAAAGAGAGAGAGAGAGCGAGGACGCTGACGGAGCAATAGTGTGGAATGTACTCGGTGGGTCTCTCTGGGGGTTGAGCATTAAACACTAGCAACCAGCAAAATTGCTTGATCGGCTTTCACTTGGCAGGAACTTGTACTAATCCTCTCAATGGAAATCGATTTACAAGTGGCTAATGCAGATAAACTGGAACTCTTCCCTTTCCCGCTGTGTATCAGGCAATACATCCACACCCCATTCTCTTCTTTCCTTTCTCTCCCCCCCACATCCTAAACCCATCCCTCCACCTCCATTCCCCCATCATCCAGTCAATAGCACACATGGTTTTGAACCCAGTTGAAATAGCCTCATTGGGGGGGGGGTGGGGGTGGAGGCGTGGTTTACGGGGGAAAGAGGGTGGGGGATAGCAGGCAATATTCCTTGCTTATCAATCAATCAATCTAACCTCGGCAGTGTAAGATGTTAAGGGGGATTTTCCCCATTTTTAAGGGCACAGCACTAAGGTTCAGAAGTTACTGAGACATGAGAAATCTGACCTGATGAGGGTATATTCCAGTCAGACTGCGATAGGACACGTTCCACTAATCTGTAAGGGTTTGATTGAAACTTTGGGTTGCGAACACACTGAGCGCTAAATTGGGATAAGGCCCCGGGGATCAGTTTGAGGGGAATGTTAGCGTAGATACGTGTGGTGTGAGGAATGGTTTGCCGTTTGCTTAAAAACACAACGGATCCCAAGAGCGTGAGTCGCATTTCAATCGCATGGTTTCTTTGATTTGTTGGTTACTAACGACGCACTTTTTTCCAATACGTTTCTCCCACTCCTTTTTTTTTAAAAAATGTACCTTTTGGGGATTTTGTTTGTGTGCCTGTTGTTCTTGGAAACCAGGAAGCAGAGACTTGTGCTGTGGGGTACGGTTTGCATTGTGAACACAACATAACGGTTCGCTAGTGAAATCACTCGTGAAATCGCTCGTGCAAAAGCTAGTTAAATCACTTCTATGCTTTTTGGTTTCCATTTAAAGAACAGTTATTGGAAAAACTGACCCCTTTCCTTTCACATTCTGGGAATCACCTGTGTTTACAAGACCTGGCGTGGATAGAAACTGCAACAACTCAAAAACTGGCATGAAATTTCCCCCCACCCACCACTATTTGCACCGTTCTTAATACCTTATTGAGGAATCCTGCTAACAAGAAGCCTCAGTTATCTATGAACAGACCAGAGGTTAGACAAATGGAATTGGGAAGATCTGGGTTGGAAGCTAGGTGACTCGAATGTTTGCTGATTATATATATAAAAAATAAATCAAGTTGGCGAATCCTCTAGTTTAGAGCATTTTAGCATTTAATGGTTTGTGTTGAAGTCTGATTAAACATTTTGGAACAAAAGAAAAATCAAAACTACTAATTATTAATAATCGTTCAAGGCCCAAAGTGGTTGTGTGATGGAGGGTGGGAGGGGGAGAGGGGGTGGGAGTGGGAGGGCAAAAAAAGCCAAGGGAGGCAATGTCGTTTTACACTTTGCATCTAAGCAATACTATAGCATTGTGTCTTGATCAAAAGCCTTGAATCGAACACGATGGGTTAAAGCGGTCAGCACTGAGCTTGTGATAATCACTGATAGAAATTAGTCACCGTCAGACATTGTTTTAGTGAGCACTTTAGTTGCAGTAACTTAAGGACATCTTTATTGAAGTTGTTGCAAATTCCTTCACGCTCAGCCCTCCAAACAATTGTATACCTAGAGCCACTCCAATGGCTGGAGTAGTAACAATAATAATAATCCCCGCATTTGATACAGCGCCTTATCACGTCTTCGAGACTTCTCAAAGCGCTTCACAGGATATACCGTAAAGTGGCGTATCTGTGTATTTTGTGGGCGAAGCTTAATTGGAGGCTTCTTCCTGGGAGTGCCATGTGGGGGGCTGGGTGGGGCTGGGGCAGTGGGGGGAGGGGGCTAAATAAGGTCGTTGTTTACAGCTAATTGTTTAGTGAGTTAGATATGTGATCACCTTAATGTGTCGATGTATTTTCGCGCCGTCTCTCAGTGTATGAGAGGTGACGGGAGTTTGATGAGTGTTTTTTTAATCTCACTGCCTTAATGCGATGACTGGGCTTTATTGCACTGCTTCTTTCTTCGATAGAAACTACTGAAAAGGTAATTGGGGCGTCTGGCAATTCTAACTACACCCCCCCCCCCCCCCACCCCCGTTTTTTTATAGTTTTTGTTCTATTCTTGAATTGAGATTCGCAAGTTCCCATGAGCAATGTTACCAGAAAGATCCTGTACTTCATTACTCTGGGCAGGGTGGCCCAACTGGAGGCCCACGGGCCACATCCGGCCCTGGGGGATGATTTTAGTTCATTGGCTTTCCACCAACCTGACTTAGTAAATAAATAGGTGATCTTTGCATTCGATATAATGCCTTTCACGTCCGGAGGACATTTCAAAGCGCTTCACAGGATAGACTGTAAAGTGTAGTTGTGACTTTTTTTGAGGAGTAGGGAATGGTTCTTCCATGTCTTTGCCTTTCCCATGTTTTTTTTGGTCAGCCGGGTGTCCCGACACACGCAGAACCCCATCACCGTTGCTTAAGAGTCTCCAAACCAAACTGAGAATTCCCGGCATCCCACCTACACATGGAAACCCCAGAGATAGATTGTTGGGATGGAATGCGCTCTCTCTCTCTCTCTCTCTCTCTTCCTGGAATGACAAATCCTGCTTATCTAATTCCAGAGAATATTAGGCACAGGCTGGCAAAGAGCCAAGGCTTTCCCATGCAACAGTCAGCCAGTGACTGCGGGTGACTTAAAACATCAGCCAAGGTTATGATTGGCAACTCTTAATTGGGCCATCGCTCTGTAACAACCTCCCTCCCCCTTACCACCCGTGCTTCATTGTTGTGAAACGTAACAGTAATTTATAGGTTATTGAATATAAACCGCGTGACACATGTATTACATTCTAGAGCGAAGTATTACAAATTATTGCTATCTCCCAACTACATAGAGTTCAGGAACAAATATTTTACCTCAAGGGCTTTTGCATTGCGCTCATGCAGTTAGCCAAGGAACTGAAGTGTTTTTCGGTCATCTTGTGGGACCAAGGAGGTGGAGGGATGTTTGTCCTCTCTCTTTCTCTCCCCTCTCCGTCACCTCCCCTTACCCCTTCTGTACTTTATACTGGGTTTAAAAAGCTGCTGATTTTTCGGCATTTCAAGCGTCAGTGAGTGTTCAGCTCGTGCGATACCTAGTTAATCGGTGTCTTTAAGCGCTCCGGGACGCTACCCCACGTGAAGGGCGCTATATAAATGCAAGTTGTTGTTGTCCTTCTTTGGTTGTTGATTGAGGAGGGACCACCGTTTGATATTGACAAGACCATGTGTTTTGCTGAATCGCAGTCAATGAGTCACACAGTAGCTTTCCCTCACCTTGAACCAGATACACAGACCAAGTATGAAACACAGGCAACTGAAGGACTCGTGTAATGATTAGTGTGAAAACAATAGAGTAACCCACTTTGTATCATTGTAACTTGATCCAATGCTTAGCCCTACACTTTCTGGTATTATTGTACAATTTGGGTAAGTTGTGTTTTGAGTGGAAAGTATGATCTAATATATATATATATTCTAGATATTGTATATATTTATAGCACCTGCTAACAATCCACACGGCTTCATCGAAATGTTAGCATTTTTGAATCTTGTATTTTTTTTGTTTTAATCAGTTTTAATGACAATTGCTGCTTATCATAAACCAAAAGAAAGATTCTGCTCGGCAGTTGTTTGCATGATTAATAACATCCCCCAACAATCTCGTGTAAAGTAAATGTATTTTAAGTTTGTGCCCCCAGTTCACTTTCTCTTTGTCACCAATTGCCTTTTTTTCCCCCTTTTTTTTGTACTATGACTGATTAGTTTTTAAAAAAAATTCCAATAGTCCAGTTATAATGCTGTAATTATTCCAGTAACGATTTGAGATATAAACCCAAGCATATTCCCTTAAAAGGACTCTAAGGAACCAGTTCTGTGTGTGTGTGCAAATGGCAAATGTGGTTCTGGATTGGAGTATGCGATGATTGTGTTGTGTGTATTTTTTGCCATGACCCATTGTTTTGATTTATTTGAGGATTTTTTTGAGGCAGGAAGAATGTGTATATGAGATTACCGTAACCCTGCTGTACAGTACGTTTTATTCGTGTGAATGTGGCGTGATTCACGCACAAGGTTGGGGCAATATTGTAACGAGAATCTTGCGGGCAGAGAGTGAGAGTTGGATCAACGTAATGGACAGGGTGAAGGAAGAGAGAAAAACTATTTGATAGGAATTTTCAAGGCCTTGAGACATAGACAGTGAGATGTACTTGGTTGCTTCCAGAGTACAGTTACGTGATCGCCACTGTTTTCACTGGCATCCAACCAACGTAACCCAACAGTTAATTTTGGGATCGAGCCAATACTCAAGTGCGAGGTGTGTGACAGGGGGTTGTGAAGTGCTTTCATGGGTGCAATGTCTTGTGTTTTGTAACACACTGTCTGGGAGGATTCCAAAAGCCACTCTATAGATTCTAATTCGTTCATTCATCACAGTAACTCCTACAACAACAACTACTTGCATTTGTATAGTACCCGTCATGCAGGGTAGCGTCTCGAGCCAGAGGGAGATGACATTTTAATCGCATTGTATTTGATCGAATGGGTCTGCTCGGCACCAATTAAGAACGAGGCTGTCAAAATCTAGTATTATTTATTTGTGTTCTTTGGGAAAAAAATATAGCAATGCCCATTTTTTTGGTTGTTAAAAGAGACTGTGAAAAAGATTGAAAAATCGCTCCTTGCAAATGATTTATCTCTCACTTCCTGGAGGTGCTTTTTGGAATCTCCCATTGCTCTTCCCTGTGATTTGGTCAATGTTTCATTTCCAACTGCGAAGGTAATTTCACACCCTCTTTGAGAAGTGAGTGTTATTATCAGGACCACTCATGTTTTTTTGGAGTGTCGAGAAGACGATGTCCGAGACGCCGTCCGGCGTGGAGAGCGCTATAAAAATCCAAGTAATTGTTGTTGTTGTTGTTGAGTTTGGATCTTCTGAAGCCGCAGAAGCCAGATAACATTCAAATATTTCCCACAGGAAGTTTGCAATATATCTGTAAGATTGCCATTTGTTTACATAGGTCTTGTTGAGAGTCTGAGGAAAATAGGTTACCTTTGATCGTTGATTATGGCGTGTTACAGCAATCTGCATAACCCTAATGGTTTATTGTAAACTTACAGGAGGCTGTGTTACAATGAATAGTTTTACCTATTTGTACTTTTTGCAGTTTTCTCTTTCTCTCTCTCTCTCTCTCTCTCTCTCTCTCTCTCTCTCTCACTAGGAATCAACCTCTGTCTTAATGCAGGCAATTGCAGGATTCCAGTTCTTTGAAAGTCCTGGGTACAGTCCTTAGAATGAATCGCTTTCAGCCAGGACTTTATTGGAGGAAGGTTGTCCTTAGTACAGGGAGTTTTGCAGACAAAGGATAAGGATTACTGTATCAAAGAAAGGTTGGTGACATTTTCAGAGGCTCCCGAACTCTATGGTGAATTTTAAATCCATTATGAAACTTTTTTTTTTGCACTTGACAGTAACCAGCGTCCTACACAAACTGCTCGCCATATATAAAAATGGCCGGTATATAGTTTTATATGCTCTTAACGAGTTTGAGTAACCTAGGACTTAGGAAATGCCCTTTGTCGCACCAGGTTTTTTAAACGTTTCCTCTCCCCCCCCCCTCTCTCTCTTCCTCCATGCCATTTCCCAACTACCTATTCCAAAGTCTCGCTGCTCGATCCTCTCTGTAACTTGCACTAAAGTGCCGCGTTAACTGGTCTTGGCATCTGCTTTGGATAATTCAGCTAAACTGGGAACCCCAATGTGTGGTGCAGCAATTGCTGAGCCAGGGACCAGTCTCAAAGAAGCAGTGTGATCAGTAGAAATGAGCATTTGCCCTACTCTTTGCTTCCAATTTCATTTAAGGGAGAAAAATGTCCACTTGTTTTTTTTTTCCTCTCCTGAATTTTCAACTCCCTGCTCCCAATAGATACCTCTCCCCATCAAACATCCTCCTGCAAGGAGGTCGGGACAGTCTGGGGTTAGGGTTAGGGGTTTTTCCATGACCTCCACCAGTGCCCACACCACAACTAGCCATCAGGTACTTGCAGCGAGGCATGTTGACCGGGCTTGTAATGGACAGAGCAAACAGTGTAATTGTAGTCCTCCCTAGAGTAGGGTTACCATTGTAGCTGCGTTCTTTCACGGGACCAGCAGCCACTGGAAATTCAAGCTTGGCTTCCAGGCACAAGAATAGGAGCCAGGACACTACCACACGCTACTGAGGTGAAGAGGTTTTGCAA